TTAACTTTATTCCACTGGTGATAGACTTGATTCCCATTTAATGGCAATAAACACGTGTCCACATTGTCATTTCTAACAGAGTCATAGTGCATCAACGCAATGTAGCTTATTTTGTCAGCTCCCACCAATGGACATTTATATTCTTTCCAAATTTTTGCTAGTCATAATCCATGTGTGCATGTGTATATAATTGTTTTTTTTTTTACTTAGCAAATGTTCTTTATTGAAAGCTGCAAACTTTTGATTATCATTCCAGAAAACCTTAGCTTGTAGGTGTCACAATGCAAAACACTATTAGGGAGTTAAAAAAAACTGATTAAGATTAAACTAGCTCCTGATCTCCTCTGCAGAGTTTTTAATCTATAAGAGAGATAGCTAGCTACATAGACAATAAGGAAACAAAATGCTGCGAGGAAGAACTAAACGTTAATTGAGCATGGAATGGGTAGTTTCACATAAATTGTGATCAGTCCTCATCTAAAACAATAATTTTTTAAAACAGCAATTTTATATTCAAGTAATTTATAAACGACAGAAAAGAAAAAAAATATATCATCCCAAGGCACCATGCCAAGTTCTTTGTCATAGTAACAACATGTAAAATTCTTATAGCCACTAAGGTAATAAAATATCCTCACAATAATCCTGTGGCGACTACAGATAAGAAAAATGAGGCTGAGAACAGGAAGGTGAATGACAGGAAGTGAACCATTATCATGTCCACGGGTGAGTTAATATTTCCTCTGAAACATGGGAGTTGGACAAGCTCCATGCATGCTAAGACCTGGCCTTATTGTCCACTGATTCTGAGTCCCTAGAATATTGCTCACCACAAAGATCTGTGTTCAATAAGCAGTTGCTGAATACATAAATCCCCACTTAATAGATGAGGAAACTGAAGCTCAAAAGGCTAAGCTATATACCCAAGGTCAGGCTATTACTAAATTAAGGCTCAACTGGTATCCTTTCTTGTCTGAAAGTCTACTTACTAGCTGAAATTTATAACACTTAATGGTATAGAAAAATTGCTTTGACTGTATAATTTGTATTCATCTTTAAATCTGAATTAGATCAAACAGAAAAAGAATGCAATTACCTTAAAATGGATTAGCTGAATAATATATCAGACATATGACAATGTTTAAAACTCTTGCCATTTTAAGCGAGGGGGGATAAAACTTTCAGTTTTTTGTTAGATGTAAATTTAAAATAATTGCAACAAAATAGAACAAAACTTATACACATAATCTCCTACGTAAGGGAAAAAACACCAAGGATTACTTTAATTGCTACTGTGCAGATCAATGTTGCAAATCATACACTATCCATTCATTAAACTTAGTTATTCAAAGACGGGGGATTTAGCTCAGTGGCTCCACCGCCTGCCTCATAAGCACAAGGTCCCCCGTACCAAAAAAGAAAATAAAACAAAACAAAAAAACAAATTAGTTATTCATGAAAGTAGTTGCAGAATAGCCTTTTTTGAGCTGTAGGCCACACTTGATTCTAACTATGATGTTCTATCAAAAACAATGATCTTTCTCTTTTAAAAGTCTACTTCAAAATGCCCACCATTACTACAAAAAACTAAAATACTTGTATTAAAATAGCAATGTAAACAACACAACATAAATGGCAATGAATCTCTCTACCAAAGTCCAAAATATGTCAATAATTCAATAAATGTAGAGTTTAAGAAATGAGAATGTAACTTACTTTCTGCCACTGACATTACTTTTCCAGAATATTTCTATTTCCTATGTGGTATCTATTCACACACATTAACGCTTTCAAACCTAAATACACTGTATGAAAATAATTGAAAGTTGAACAATTCATTAAGTTCATTGCAGTAAGGACATTGTAAAATATTCTGGACTGAAAACATGGAAAGCAACAAGGTCCTACATTCATCTGAAGATCTCGTTTTTCTCTAAGTAAAACTCTTGCCAATTGATTAAAGTGTTTTATCAATTAGATTCCATGCCCTAAATCTTTTATTGGGATATTTCATAAATTTCTAGATCTTCCCTTTTCCTGAATTCTAAAGTTATGCTAATAAACATCTGAGAATGTTTTATATAAAATACGTTTTTCCAGTACTAGCACCTAATTTTATTTAGTTCCTATCAACCCTTCGATGACATCTTCATTTTACATATAATTAAAGCTCAAAAAGTTAAGTAATTTTGCCCTGGTTAAAGAGACATCAAATAGGAAGTCTTCATCTGAGCTAAAATTTTTAGACTTCCCCACAACTGTACTTTATCACTTTATTTGGCAATTACATACTGCCCTTACTGCACATTTGTACCACCGACTTTCACTCTTACATTTCTAAATTTTTCCTACATTCATGTCTTTAAAAGCAACAACTATGTTGTGTGCTTTGGTATCTCAGAGTGACCTTCAGAAAAATGATTCAAGTTATTTACATGACAGAAGTATTACAGACTGTGTAAGTTTGGGCAATTTTTAAGAATTCTCAGATTCTCAGTTATAAAATGGCTATCAAAATTGAATATTTACTATGAAATGTTTCCATGTGTGAGCCCCTTTAACCCTTTAAGAACAGTACACTCCAACCACTGTAAAAACGAAAAATCCAAAGAAGAGACACAATGTCCAACTTCACCAAGAATAAAGTTTCGAGCTAGTTGGAGAAGGGCCAGGCTTTAAAAACCAAGTCATCCTGTCTAGAGTACCTGCTTGGTTAATGTCAAACCTACCCGCTTAAGACTAAACAGTGACTACATGAAATCATGTTCATATAGTTGGGGAGACTCAAGAAGAATTAGCTTCTGGCAATGATTTCTTAGATTTGACACCAAAAGCACAAGAAACAAGGCAAAAATATAGACAAATGGGACTATATAAAGCTTAAAGACTTCCAAGTAACAGAAAGGCTACCTGCAGAGTGGGGGAAAATATCTGTAAATTACAAGTCTGAGAAGAGCTTAATACCCAGAATATAGAAAGAACCCTTCTAACTCAGTCACAAAAACCAAATAAACTTATGTTAAAATGGGCAAATAACTTGAACAGATATTTCTCCAAAGTTATATACAATTGGCCAACAAACAAGAACAAATGCTCCACAGCACCCAACCTCTGAGAAACTGCAAATCAAAATCACAAGGAGACCTCACCTCAAGCTCACTAGGATGGCTCCCAGCGAAACAAAAAAAGGAAGAGTTGTTGAGGGTGCTGAGCAACTGGGAACCCTGCTCATTGCCAGCAGCAACAGAAAGCGGTGCAGCCACTAAAAGGAAACGGACGGTATGGAGGTTCTTTAAAACTTACAAGTGGAGTTACCATCTGATCCAGCAATCCACTGGGAGATATATATTCAGAATTGAAAGCAGGATTTTGCTTGCCCATGTTCACAGGAGCATTATTCACAACAGCCAAAACAGAAGACTGAACATACACAACGGAATATCCAATACTTAAAATAAATAATGTGTCAAACGCTACAGCAAGGATGAGTTTAAGGATATCATGCAAATGAGATAAACCAGTCCATAGACAAACACAAATACTTCATGATCCACTTAACAGTATTCGCTATAGTAGCCAAATCCATAGAAACACAAAGTAGACTGGAGAGTGCCAGGGGAGCTGTTTAACTGGTACAGTTTCAATATGGTAAAATGAAAAAGTTCAGACGTTCTCTCGCACAACAGTGTGCAAATACTTAACACTAAGCACACCTTTTCACTGATCTGACAGTGTTCAGTGGTCATAAAGGATAAAGGTAGAAAGTCATAAAAGAGAAAAAAGCACAACAGCTTAAACACTGTAGAAGAAAGTAACAGATTAAGCAGCTAGCCCCGATTCTCATTATCAGTAATTTTCTTCTTAGCCCGGAAGTACTCCGAATCTCAGAGATGTCCTACTGGCAGGCAAGAGTACAGTGGCCCTTCGAGGGTGGTTTTCACTCTGCCACTCATTGCTGTGTGACCTTGGTAAGACTTCTTCCCTCATTCACTCACTCACTCACTCACTCACTCATTCATTCATTCACCAGAGTGAACCTGGTCAGAGGAGTCCTGCGCCTCTGCACTGCTTGCTGGGAGGAATGAATGAAACAGCCACGGCCCACGCCGGGCACGGCTCGGCACTCTGCGGGTGCCCGTTAGGGTCTCCGGGGCTCAGCCCAGAGGGACCGGGCCAAGCCAGAGATTTACATAACGAGCCCGCGGCGCTGCCCAGCGATCGCCCGGTCC